CACATCTCCACCTCACCTAACCTAACAGAATCCACATCTCCACCTCACTTAACCTAAGTGACAGTAAGCCCTCAGTGATCATTCGGTAATTCGCGGCTGGATGGGATGACTGTGTGTTGAATAAATGTTTTTAATGTTTTAATTGTTGCTTGTTCTTAAATTTCTGAGATGTTTCGTTGGTTGTTGAGTTTTCCAAAGGTCATGAGGTTAGAGAATATTGGTATCTTTCCAAGTTGTCGCATTGTCAGTACCAACTCTATATATGAAGTCAGGAAAAATGTAAATTACATTTTGTTTTTATTTTAAAATTCGCTAAAATTTGTTTTATCTAAAAAATAAACTTTTCTTTGCCTTAGCTTCCATTTATTTTTGTCGTGTTTTCTAAAATCAACACATTTTCAGGCTGCATCATCCAAGCGTGATTCGATTACTGATGGCTCAACGTATGCTAAAGTTGCCACGATGCTGATTGCAGCCATCGTAAGCTTCATCTTTACCGATAACCTTTAAATCATCATTACTGACTTCAACTAATGAATAAACTTCGATGTAATAACTAACACTTTAAATTTTCTTCTGAAAGCCATGTAACATGTATATATTTTATAAATTTTCTGAAGTATTTAAATGATTTTCAGCGATTATGCATTCAAAATTCATAAAATGTGAAAAAGAACATAAGTTTGATGAATATTAGATAAAGATTGTTTTCCAAAATTTAAATATTCCGATGAGACAAAAACCAAATGTAAATAACAGATATTAATTGTTTGATTTCTTTTGAAGTTCAGATTGGTCTTCGGCTTATTACTTCTATATCTGATGGAAAAAACTACGAAAGTTTTGGTGATGCTTTCAAATCGCACGCTTTTGCCTGGCCTCAACATTACAACATATTTTTATCTCAAGACAAATTAGATGTCAACGATGAAGATGATGAAATTTCGACAAGTGACATCTAAAGTGAAGTAAATTATAGTAAGGAAATTTTGATTATTTGTAGGAGACAAGATATAGTTTTGTATATACTGTAAAGAATTAGAACTACCGAATATTTTATTTGTATTTATCCATTTCTTATATCTGTCCTCAAGTGATAGTGTAATTATATTGTGATTATGGTCAATGATTTTCATTTTCACTAAGTTTTAAAGTGCTAATTATGCGTTGTAGTTAAATTGTTTGGTGCTTGAATGTATTGAAAGTATTTATCTGGCCTCTTTTCAAGTTCACCGATATTTTTGGGAAAATATTTCTCTCACTTTTCCATGCTTCCAATCTAACCTACATGCTCGATGGTCGGATTTTACAAAATAATTTTTTTTCCTTAAACGTTCAGTTATTCCATTAAAATCCTTACTTTCTCAATCACTACGTCGAGAATTAAAAATTTTGCGCATAGTATATAGATTTCTCATATTTTGTGCCAATCTAATACATTGAAGCACGATTATAAGTACAGTTGGTGATCAGGCTTTCTAATTAATGTCAAAGATTGTTTGTTTCTTATCAAAAAAAGACAATTTAGTTAAACTGGTGATATATGGGAAGCGATTTTGTTTAAGATGGGTTTTTTACGTCTGCGGTTAAAATATTTTTTCTTGCAAGTTTTAAGAACAGACCAGACTGCGATAAGTAACAAAAATAGCTGAAATGAAACTGAGGCATTTTGCTTAATTTGCCTCTGTTAAATGATTTTATCTACTACGTATTTATTTTTTTAAACCGGTTAATATGCTGCTTTTTCCCCTAATTAAGTTCTCATTATGATGGTCGAGAATTATTCTACCATTTTACCGATAAGTTAACTAATAGTTAGATTATTTTTGTCTGGATGTTCTAATAATTAATTTATTCAGGTTGGATGGAGTAGGTCATATTTCAGCATTTTAGGACGAATTAGACTATTGTTCCTTGAAGTACTTTAGTGCGGATATGGGGATCCCGTTCAGTATCGAGATGTGTGTGTCACTGATTTCAATTATTATTGGCAATTTGAGTTGCCTAATACTCACAATGAAAAAGATATTACTACTATTCTGGGAATTGCAAGCACTTGTGTTATTTTCAGGTATTTCTCAGAAGTTTTTCAACTGTTCAGCTTACATAGCATTCCAGTGAAATCAAATGTTTGACTTTGATCAGAATTCAGTGCTGAACTATGTTATAGACAGATGAATACGGTAAAGGAGGCTGTCTACGCAAAGGTTTCTTTTATGACTTAAACAAAGAAATTTGGCAAGGAAATGTAAGACGAAGAAATTTGACGTATTCGTTATTGCTTTGAAATGTCTATGCCATACCACGTTGAAAGCACGACATCTCGTCCGATCTGTCAAGTTAAGCGACTTGGGCCTTAAACTGTATGTATTATTCTAAACTGTATGTGTTATTCTGGTAAACTTTTTTTTGTAACCGATATGAACAGCTTTTCTGTTGTATCTCGATCTGGCTACTTGTACTTTTCCAATAATTTGCATAGCTCCCAAAACCAGCTTTCCTTTTTTCTTCTTAAAATTATCTTACTTCGGGATCTATACAATTGTTGTATTGCGACCGCTGTATTACAATGTCCAATAGCCATTAAAAGTTCAACCAGCATTACCTTAGTTTAATGTGAATGCTTGATGACTTTTCCTGTAATCTTTAAATTGATCATTTGTCTTTAGCTCCTTTGGCAGTCATGCCGAAGTAAAACCCAGCATACATTCAAATAGTTTACAAATCACATACCAATAATGAAAAGAGCAGTTGACTTTTATATAATTCCGACTTCATCTACGATAGTCAAATGTCTAGCTCAATTTTTCAATAAAAATGAAAAGAAATTACAATATTCATGTCAGTGATTAATTGTTTTAAATTCATCATATTGTGCTATCATCAGCTTACGAAGATTTTATCATTTATTGCAAAAAAATTTCTCACTAAAAGGAAATCCACTAGGTAAGATAATGCAGTTCCAAAATTGTATTTCTAATTGAATGGAATTTTGGGAAGAAAGAATATGAAATATGGGATGTATAATAGGAAGAAAGCCAAGCTGTGTTCACGATGAGCTGAAAAAACCATTCCAACTAGGGCACTAGTCATTAGCAGTTAGAAGATTTATCTGAACTAGGCTGCTGAGGTTTATAGATGAAACACACTCGTAAATTAAAAATACGGTAATTATAACAATTTTTACTTTACTATCTACTTCAAAAAGGATCAGAACTAAGGCATAATTATATTAACAGATTTCAATATTCAGTGCGATTATTGTTGCACTTTCCATCTAAGAGCAGTACTTTTTAATCTAACAGACTGTTTTCTATTTCTAAGATATAGAAGATATTTGATAACAGTATTGAATTTAATATTAGTCAAATAATTTATACAAAACTGGCAATGCATATTTTTAGAGTATATTTAATATTTGCAATGAATCATATGAGTAATTTTGATTTCTGCATAATAATTTTATTAGGACATGCAAATGCTCCAATAAGTGGTGTAAATTTTCACATACGCTCACGTAAATGATTGAAATAATACTGAAATCATTGATCAATTTAGCATAAATTTTCAGAATTTTCAACTTTAAAAATGATTTCATAACCTAAAGAATATTAGCCCAAGCTTTCCTCCAGATCGTTTACCATGCATATTGTATCTATGTCACGTAACTATTGCATTTCGTCCACGTATGTCTCATACAAACATAACTTGTATGCGTGAATATTGTAACAATAAACGTTTCGGGATTAGTTCAATCATTGCACTTTTGATAATATACATAAGTTCTTATCAAATGTTTGGCAAAGAATTTATAACAAACAAAATTGGAGTCAGGAAATGGGACTTTGTTTATAGTTATTAATAAAAAAATTTAATTTCAGCAATTCATATCATTTTCGCAGCTATATGAGACCGCACTTTTCATTGTCACAAAATCATCTTTAATTTTTTTTTACTGAATTTTGACGATATTAATTTGGAAACTTCTAATGGAATCATTTTCACACTTCTATTAATGAAAGACCCGATTCTTTTTCCTTTTCCTATATCTGAAGTAGTGTGCGACTACTGGATATTGCAGCAATTGATTAAAGAAGCAATTGTTATAACAGAGTGGAGATGCTACATTTGACTGTTATTGGGAATTTATAGCATCGGATTTAACTGAAATTTACCCCAAACAATTATTTCAGTGATTTAATTTCAGCGGGAAAAGAAAGGTAAAATGGAATATTTACTATAACTTTTAGAGCCAGCAGCTTTTCCCTTTTTGATAACTGGAAAATGAAAAATTTATCTGTCAAAATGATTAGTTTTATGTTGTCATTTCAGTACTGGCATGTCATATTGCCACATTTAGGTGATAGAAACTTCATAAGTGAAGATACGAAGCTGTAGCGAAGGCGCACGTTACGACATGCATGCTGCTGGAACTGTTTCAATTTCTAGCAATGTATTGAATGAGAAAGCGTCCAACTTCCTCGTTAATTGGAAAATATCATGGTTTGTCGCTGTTTTTCCTCTTCATCGATTAATCGATGTGAGTTAGCTTTAAACAGAGTTAATTGCGAGAAAATTTAACAAGGAACAATGAGATTGGACAGAACAGCTACATCAATTCACAGTTGATTATCAATCTCATCCACAGTTGAAATTTCTAAAAATTTTTAAATTATTAAATTCAGTTGCATTAACAAGTATATAAATATGGTCAATGTTGTTTGTTATCGATGCACGACATCAGCATGCATATTCGTGCAAACGATATACAACAAAAAAGTTCATGTAATAGTAAAGTAACACGTGGAAGCAATTGAAGAATATTTGTGCAACAGATGTGAGATTATTCTAATTTGATGCTGTAGAGAAGGATATTACGACACAAAAAGTAGCAATAGAAGGGACTGGGGAAGAGGATATAATTGACGACTATTGGGCACAGCGCAATTGAGATCGAGACGGGAGAGAGAGGGGAACAGCATAGAGAGAACGTGATGGAGGAGGAGAGCAGCTGGTTGGGATGACAACGACAGATCATTCGTCCAGTGTCGACAAATCGATCATATAAGAGGAACGGGGGAAGATAGAAGAACAAGATGTTGAAACTGTGTTAAGATATTAGGAAGAGAAGAGAATGACGTGAGAGAAAGATAGAAAGAGGAGGACAGAGGAGAGAGGGAGGAAAGACTCTAAAGGGGACAATACGGCACTACTTCGAGACTAGTCTATAGAATACCAGTTGGACGCCAACTGACGGCATGCGGCAACTGACGCCATTGTCTTGACATTGTAGGTCGATTCGTCTCTATGTATTTCGGGGTTTCTCTTTCTCTCTCTCTTTGTCTAAACCACTTCATATGTTTACGTAGTAACAGCAATGGCCTCGTGTCGTGAGAGGAATGCTTCCATGTTCGTTTATAATTCAACTTTACGACGCTTCCACACTTTCCGAAGACTGTTCAATTTTTCGTATTTTAAAATCATATTTTGATATATTTCTTCCCATTATTCTCCCTCTTTTATCGTTTTTCTCTCTCTTACCCTTTACTGTTCAAGTAACCCCTTCCCTTATTCTTCCTTTCGACGACAAAGGTTAGCATAGCCGCATATCTTTTCTTACTGAATTAAATGATATACATACACACACAAATTATATACTTTTTGAAGGATTATTTAACTGTCCTTTTATAACTTCTAATTTTACTATTTTTTCACAGTTTCTGATAAGGGAAATATGAATGAGCGAGACCGGTTAAGCCTGAAATAGCCGATAGAAGTCTAAATAAACGTATTGAATATTGATGAGCTTTAAGTACGTGAAACTGTCTGTAGGTTTCTGATCAGTGTTGGAAATTTCTGCTTCATTAGCGTCAATTACAAGAAATAAAAGCATTGAAAGAGAAAATTGCTGCTAATTTTAGAGACGTAGCTGAGAAAAGATGATAATTAAATGTTTTCTAAATAACCACTTAGTGTATTAGCTATCTTTCAAGAATTTCTAATCTTTCCCTTTTAATTCATTATTCAAATTGAATTTCAAGTTTTATAGCTCATAAAGGAAATTGAGATTTTAAACAAGTATAAGGATAGCACTTTTGTTTCAATTTTCATAAATTAATGAAACGATGAATTTTTAGTTTTTTTTGTCCCAAGAATGTTGTAATTTTTATATTATTAGTTAGTATTTTTGACATGCTTCGTTGTCCTTTTTTGAAACAATGTAGGTATGCTAACTTTTCTTTTTGTGAGAAAAGGATGGTATTGCAAGGAGCCTAAGCCATCAATAGGAGAACGAATTAACATTACTGAATAATCGAAATATCTCTTTCTTATCCCAGTTCATGCGCTATTTTCACATTCTCATTCGTGCACCTTGTTTAGGAAGAGGGGGAAGGGAATCACAAAATGGACTTATTGTCGCAGCTGGTTGGAACACCAGGCTGCAAACAACGATCAGATGAAACTGACCAAGAAGAGACCGATTTAATTTCTACTCACTTAAACAAAGACGAAGGATTGAACATGATAGAAGCGAATGTGAACGTAGCAAAACCAAACGTAGTTTGCAAGACGGAAGAGCCAAACTTTGAGAATGGTGATTCACTCAGATTCGGAATTGTGGAGAGTTTCATGTTGAAGGTTTTTCTTTTACTTTCGTTAATCTTTCGAAAAGTTGAATTGGGACTCTTGACTGACAAAAAGATTACTGGAAAATCCGAAAGTGAATGGAAGCTGTAAACATAATGACGAAGATGGTATATTCCAATATATGATTACTAATGATTACTAATTGTAAGCATGAGAGGATGGAAATATGACCATTATTCATTATGGCTTTTTCTTTGTTCACCTGCAAAAGATGTATACTTCAGATGGCACCAGATGCAGATGTTCAAATTTTTCGTTCAAAAAAGGGTTTCGAAAAATTGGCATACGAAGGATTTCTGTATAACTTGGATAAGCGTCATCAGAAGTATGTATTATGGCGATGTGAAATGAGCAAAAAACCAGGATACAAATGTAGTGGCCGAGTTCGGATGACCGAAGATTCCCTCGATGTAAAGTTCAACGTTCTCCTCAACATTCTTCTATTCAAACGACTGGGTTTGAACCATTTATGTTCTAGAGTTCTGCGACATCTCACCTCTCACTATTATTGGACATGTGTAGCATTTCAAAATCATTTTTAATCTGTCTTCTTTTGAATTATAATAGCTTAATAGTTCAACTGTTGCTAGCAGTGAAATAGTAAATGAATATTAAGCTTGAATCTCAAAATAGATGACGTTTATTTATTGTAAAGACATATTAAAACTAGAACCAGGTAAGTGATCCACTTGCGAATTACCTACTTCCAGTATCTCAATAATACATCTCAATATCATTAGCAGTACTGCAATAAAATTGTGCTGGGGTCAGGCAAGCCTAAACATATCATCGTCGTGTGACTTTTTAATACAAGATTTGGTCGTCCAAAGTATTAATAGTGCCTGATTGTTGCGCTATACGAACTTATTTTTAGATGTATAGCGCACATTCTCATCCACCAAATCCATTAAAAGTTGTCGCAGATATACTCAAAGCACGGCTATATGCGGCTGCTGAAGATCCAGCAAACAGTTCAAAATATTTGTACCATGAAGCTCTTCATTTGGCGTCATTTGCCGGGTCTTCAGGTAAAAGAATTTCGACAACAAAGAAATATTCAAATTTACCAAAAAAAAGTGCTGAATAGACTTGGCATGTTTCATTCCTACTTTAATATAAAACTGTTAGTGTCTTCCGAGCAATAATATGTTTCTTAGTGAGTAACGTGCCGGACATGACCGAAAATGAATCTCCTGCGAATGCGCACGAATGCTCTATTTGACAAGTTGCTTCATTTGTTAGTCAAGCAGTGTGAGCAGTTCGTACAATGTCTTGTTTGTTTCCTTAACTGGGACATTAGTTCCCACAACTTTACTCTTAGTGAATTGGACATTCCTGGCATCACGATCATTTTTGAAGCTGTTTCTTTGAAAAGAACATGGATTAGTAATTGCCGTAAGATTCGACATAAATATATATCAATATATATTCGACACAATATATATTGGTTTATCCCTTAAGCATATCATCTCTGCTTCTTAGACCTTCCTTTACTTCCAGATCCTGGTCAGCTGACCTGAACTGACACTATATCACTTTGTTTACTAGCCGACCATTCTGCTGATCTTCGTGATATATTGAGGTTATAGGTCTACCGAAACTTGGCTCAATGCAACGGGTAATCAGCCGGAAACGACGTCATACGCAAAAATTACTGGAAGAAAGTCTAAATCCTGCATCATCAGGTTATGACTCAAGTAGTATTCCATCCACATCAACATCAGACGATCGGAATTGCGCCATTAATAGTCTTTTGCAGACCGCCGAGCGACTGCAGTTTCTTTTTACTCCCTCAGGAGGTAAAACTTGTGACTTTTGCCATCAAGATAATAAGATTGATCTTGGATGAAAGAACTTTTACAATAGCAGTCCATTTAATTTACTGATTGGATCTGATCAGCCAACACTCTTTTTGCATCTTGAAATATCTGAAGAAATTCTTTACATTTCAAACATCCGTTTATTTTTACATCAACATTTTTGTCAGACGGCTCAAAGTTAACGTATTTTAAAGGATTCAAAGAAATTGGACTCAAAAAAGCTAAAAATATGAGTGCTGATGGCGATACTGACAAATCCAGTAGTATGAAAAAATCAAAGGCAAATTTGGATGAAGATAAGAAACTTGAAATCTCAATGCTGCAATCGCTTTTTGGCAATACAGGCATATCCGACGAAAGGGTGGAATGTCCTTTCAAACCTTCGGTTAATCATTGTCGTATATTTTTTCTAGCATTTTTGCAAGTAAATAAATTTGAATAGGTCTTATATTAAAGCTACTACCTTTCATCACTGCTTTTACTTCTCAGATTTTTACGATATATTTTTTAAAAAAGCTATTATCAGCTTTTTGATAAATTTTCCTGGGTTAGAAGGCATTATTTGACTTACCTAAGAGTTTTAATTTTAAGGACAAAAAAGAGATGCTTTTAATTATTCAAATCAATCTTAAGGCGAAATGTTATTATTTCTTTTTACAATTTACATTGTTGAAAACCTGTTTGAGTAAGAGAATAAGTATTGCGTTTTGGTTGTGTTGCGTTACTTACCCTCTACCAGTTTGTTTCAGATGGTGGACTCTTTGATATATACTTCGCAAACAGTCATGATATTCGTATTTCTTGCTGCTTTTCCCCTTTAAAAACTTTATTTTTCATATTTCCAGAGAAGTAAGCGAATGGAAATCCAAATTCATTTACAACGTGTTGCTCAAAATATCGGCATATCAGATCTTACTTCATTCGACCTTGCAGAAGCATTGGATGATGCTGATCCACTGAAATTTCTGCGTAATGAGTTTGCTTATCCGAAAATGAAAACTTTACCGCATGGTGAGTTATTTTACTAAAAATTGTGAAACATTTCAGTTTTTGGTGGGATGATGAGTTCATATTGTGGTCTTATATATTTTGGTAATTTTCAGAAGTTTGTCAAATGAAATTCAAGAACGGTTGCTAAACTATGTTATAGAGTCGTTATCAGAAAAAAATTGAGTAGACTGGTAGTGAAATTTCAAAAGTGTTATTGTCACAACTTTAAAAACCATTCTGTGCACTTCCCGTGATATACACAAAGCTATTCTGGTGTATCTTTCTTTTTGCAGTTGACTTATTATTAGTGAATGCTAACGATGATGCCATTTATATGTGTGGTAATTCGTTAGGACTAATGCCGAAAGGTACAAAACGAATTATGGATGAACAGTTCGAGAAATGGGCCAACATGTGAGTATTATTTATAAACATATTTCATCTGCTGGATTATATGTGATAATTCCAAGTTTTGATCAATGTTATTTTCCAGTTTCTCGATCAAATATCTAACCTAATCTGACGAGACCCATAAAATTTAAAGAAAAAAGCAGGAATTAGCACGAAATCTTTATTGTGTCGTTTTTTATCTCTTACTATATATTAATCTAATTTAAGGGGTGTTTTTGGGCATTTTCAAGAACCACTGGCATGGGCGCAAAGTGATGAATCAATACTGGATAGTATTGCGGAGTTGGTTGGAGCTCATCGAACGGAAGTAGCTTTGATGAATAGTTTAACTGTTAATTTGCATATTTTATTGGTAAGTAATTTTAATAAATTTGAAAATAAATTAGGCGGAATCAAAGACTTCTGATTCTTTCAAGGAATATAATTCGTCACAGATTTGTTTTTAATCGGTCGAGTTGTGAAGAGTTGTGAATTCACTTGCAGTTCGAGTTTCTTTATTTTTTCTATCGTTGTCTTTAAAAATACACTCTGAAATTCCTTTTTTTTTTCTCCCAGGCATCTTTTTCTCGATATAGTAGTAATCTAGAAATTTTTATTTACAGGCAGCTTTTTATAAGCCTACTCCAAAACGCCATAAAATTTTTATTGAATCAAAAGCATTTCCCTCGGATCATTATGCCATCGAATCGCAAATTCGTTTAAAAGGATTTGCTATTAAAGAAAGTTTAGTATGTATGCAACCACGAGACGTAAGTTTTTTTATACTTTTAGGCATTAAAGGATGGTATGAATCTTTAGCATGTTCAGCGTGAATCTTTCATAATCTTTATGAAAGGTATATTCATTGAATATACTTCGATTTTCCATTGCTTAGATGTTGTTCTCTTAGTTCAAATATCTTGATAATGAATTATTGCAAATGATAAGTCGATGTATAGTTTTTAGCTGCAAATTTAGTTCTATTCATTATTGTATGGTTCATTCTGCTGCTTGCTTTGGTCTGAAATATTCGGAAATCTCATTTACTGTTCTGTAGGGTGATGACTGTATTCGAAACGAAGATATTATAGCGCTAATTGAAGAACAAGGTGATGCGATAGCGATAATTTGGTTTAGTGCTATTCATTATTATACGGGTCAGCTTTTTGATATGAAGAAAATAACCAAAGCTGGGCATGATAAGGCAAGTGTTCCAGTTTTTTCCCGTTTTTATCTCAAATTATCGACAGATTCGAATTTATATTGCTTGGCTCATGTCTAGCATGAAATTGTGCCATTATACTTATTATTTGTTCACAATTTCTTCGACAGTATAAATTGTGCTATTATTGTCGAATAAATTAGCTGAATCCGATTTCTATTTCTCTGTTTCTAGGGATGCCTTGTTGGTTGGAATTTAGCGCATGCATTTGCAAATGTTCCGTTATCACTGCATGAATGGGATGTTGATTTTGCCTGTTGGTGTACCTATAAGTATAGTTGTTCCGGTGCTGGTGGTATTGGTGGCTTTTTCGTGCACAAACGTTTTGAAACTGACAAACGCGAAAGGATGATTGGTTGGTGGGGGCATAAAAAAGAGACGCGTTTCATCATGGATAATCGTTAGTTTCCGATTTTTAATTAGTCTTTTTTCGTTCAGATTTTATTTTAACTGATTTTTATGTAGTAAGATATTCTTGATTTGTTTTAAACTTCAAAGACATATTGCGCATCCTATTTCGAAAATCTTCAACTATTATAATCCCTATACTGCATTTACTAAAACCGTCCGGCAATTTCGGGACAATGCGCTTAATGGACTGTATGCTTATTGGACACACAATGTTAGATAAAGGCGAAAATTCTTTCCATCAAAATCCCAACTGGATTTTCACTTCAGTCCTGAAATAATGGTTCGTTGACCTAGAACTGAACAAAATATATTGTTTTCAGAATTGGATTTGGACAGCGGTGCAGCAGGTTATCGTATTAGTAACCCACCGATGATGCTTATGGTTCCATTGATTGCTTTTCTGGAAGTATAACGCTTTCAATTTCGTAATATAATATATCATACTTTTTAAATTTAAGGAAAAAATTCTATTAAATAATGAGGTGTTAGAAATGCACTCTCAGATATTTTATATAGAACCAAAACTAATTCTTTGCATATCCGAAACGACGCCATTAGACACCAACTTCATCTGTTATCAATATAGTGACTCAAAACTAAACAAACAATAAACAATCTTGTAATTTAGTAACTATTTGACTTGGATTAGCAAAACATAAATTGGTCTTGCATTTATTTTATAGGTGCTTTCGAAAACAACAATGCAGGATTTACGAACAAAATCCATATTACTTACCGGTTATTTGGAATACCTCATCAATCATTTTCTTAGTCCATCTTCACTGAATCGGAGGACCAAAAAGGCGAACTTTTGAATTTTGCGAAATATATGAATATTTGCGCTTTGTTTTGTTCATCTGAATATTTCTCTTTTTTTCTAATGATAATATCTGATTTTTGAATCAGCTCCATAGATCATTTGATTGTTTTGAGCATTATGTGAGGAGATCTTGGTCCTGAATAAAAGCATTTTGCTAACTTTTTTAACTCGTAAATCGTTCTCTTTTCTGTTCTTCACTTTATTATTTCAGATAATGTGTACAATTATGACGCCATCTGATCCTGAGCAACGTGGATGCCAGCTTTCGCTGAAATTTAATATTGATGTATCACTTGTATACGATGAATTAGTTAGAAGGGGTGTGGCGGTATGTTTAGTATAAACTATATATCAAGTTTAAAAGAAATTCCTTTCTCCGTAAATATTTGTTTGTAGATCTTCCAAGTCCAAAAAATTACTTCATCCAAAGATTTTCTACTTTTTAGGTTGATAAACGATATCCTGATGTAATACGTGTAACGCCAGTGCATTTATATAATAGTTATACCGATGTTTACCGCTTCATGCGAGCATTATTGGACTCACTGATTGTTGTCGAGGGTGACTGTGAAAAATAATTATGATTCGAACTTTTTTTGTACGGGAAAAAATATAATGATTGCATTTAGCTGTTCAGCAATTTATTTTTTCATTTCTAAAAAATCTTTCATGCAGCAGAGAAAATGTACAGTTTTGTTAATTCGACTTCTAATAAAATTTATGGGCATTTGTTAACGAAAAGTCGGATATATACAAGATTGTGTCTTGTCAAAACTCAGATCAACTGTAGTCCTAGGATTTTTCTCATTTAACAATTAAAAGGTTTAGTCAATCAACTTTTACAAAGTGAAAGCATCCTGATATGTTGCCAGTTAGACTATGGAAATTTAATGTCTCAGGTCAACTTTTATCCGTTATTAGAAGTACGTATTCTACGTTTGCAATAAAGAATCCATTCTGAGGATTGTATAATTAATTCAAACCATCTGTCGCTAAGCACAGCAGTTCACTTTGACTGTTGCAGTAATGAAATGGCTTAGCATAATTATACATGGACTTTTCATATGAATGGAAAAGCTATAATGATTATACTCGAAAATGTGGTTAAAGCGATAACTAGGTGTTGTCTAAAATGAGTGAAAAAAGAGACATTGGATGATTTAGAAGTTCATAAGAGGAGTGGCAACAAGTTATACATGAGTGATTCTTAGTTCTTATATTGTGTCCTATACAATCCAGTTTATTAGCATTCTAGGAACTAATAATAAATTTATCGCTGAAATTGCTTTAACTGAAGTTCAGACACGTCAGGTAGTTCTACATTTGCGGAAAGAAAGGCGCAGATTTCATGAAGTGGGAAATTACCGAAGAAAATGGAGTACTAAGATCAGTTTCCGATGAGGGCTTTTTTGGTTGCTTCTAGAAAAAGACATTAAAATCTACAAATGATGGAACTGGAAAGAATGTATGCTGTTCATTGGAGCATTATCGTCTAAAATTTCCATATAAATGATTCAGATGATGCTGTAAAGCAGAAGATTTGGGGTGACAAAAACGACAAATGCTAAATATTCCTGAAAATTCGGCCTATCTTATTTGCTTGTTAAATTTTCAAAAATCTGAGAAAATTCTAGTTTCAAACCTTAAATTTAGGATTCTATTCTTTCTCTCTTTCGCCCTTTTTAAAACGTAATACAGCTTTCCCACACGGTTTCCAGAAATGTTCATCTCATTTTTTCGGTTCTTTTAAATAACGTCAATACGGGGATCGATTTGATAATCCACGCGTTCGCCATTTACACGTTAATTACTTTCCTGATAATGCATACAAACATGTTCTGTTTATCTCTGATTTCAATTCTACATCCACATAATTTTCTGATACAATGATATTTATTTACGTGTACTTCACGTGTTTTCACATATGTCTTAAATTTTGTTGCATTGCATGTTCGATGTTAAATATTAAACATATGTTCCTTTTTTCTTCCTCTCTCTCTCTCTCTCTCTCTCTCTCTCTGTGTGTTTAAGAAAGTGCATCTTCGCTGTGCATTTTTTATTTTAATTTGTTTTGTTCTGCTCTTTTTTCTCGTAAAAATATCTCTCTGTGTTATAGGACACTTTCGTAGCAAACTTTTCGGATATTTTGACAAAAAAAGTGAAAAAGAGGAAAGAAAATAAGAATGTTAAAGATTTGCTCAAATCATTGCTTCTTCCTTTCTCTTTTATGTTTTTTTCTTTTTTACATCCATGAGAAATTGATTCATGCATTTGATGTTTTGTAATGAAGAATGGTTGGTCGATTGTTTGGCTGATGCTGCCACGAATCATCAATCAATTTGATAATTTAAAAAAAGAAAAGCGAAGAGGAGCATTTCCACATATAACATTTGGTTATCCAATAGTTTTTAAAGGTTTAATTCTTCATTCTTTTTTTCGGTTTTTTTTGTTAATTATTTTTGCAGCATTTTATGAAATATATTAATCAAATGATATCATTCATTGCAAATGATTTATATCTTGAAAGGATGCAAACGAAGTTTATTTGCTTCAATTTTTTAATGAATTTCAATTATTTCAATTTTAATTGATCACATCTCTCTTTTAAATTAATGCATATGAAAATTAGTAAGTTTGTATGCAATAAACTGTTTTATTTCAAAGGATTTGAATATTAGCCTTACCAATTACTTATTGCTTAATAATTACCGGAATAACCAAAATTATCCGAACTTTTTGTTTCCAGTCTGAAAATGAGAAGGTGAAAAAAGCAAACGCTAACTTTTCCAAGCACTGCCCTTGCTGAAACAATTACATTAAATCAGTTGTTAGTGAAACAACGTTTGGATTTGTTATTTAAAAAAAATTCAATCAGAAAAAGCTTCAATTAAGTTTGATTTGCTGCTCATTTTTGCATAGTGGTTAAAAGATAATGATAAGGGGAAAGATTACTTTTTTAGTAAAAGAGTAAAAACAAAAGAATTTTTTAGTAAAAAAAACAAAGAAAGAATTATTTTACTTGACTTGTTAAATGCTTTAAGAACATTAATCGATGAAGCAACTAGACCCAGATTCAAGTACTTTGTAAAGAATAGTGTAAGATGTAATAATCTAAGAATCTAATTGAAGACATCGTCACATTCTGAACTTTGACCCCTAATATTTTTATAATTCTCTCACTGCTGTATTTTAATGAAATCCTAATGGTCGTTATTCCTTGCAAAGTTAACATTAGATATCTCATCAAATTCTCGAACGATATTACAGATGTTTAAATAAACGGGAAAAATAAATCAAAAAACATAAAAAACAGAAATTTCGTAATTTCTGAACAATAAAACATTGAATATGTACTTTTATCTCGCACTTATCTATTTTATCTTTCCAATACTGCTTTCGCTTTTGACAGCTTCTTCTAATCTTTACTAAGAATGAAAAAAGATCAGTCACCATGTTAAGTCAAATGGGCCCGAACAAAACTTCAGGCTATATTATCTGGCATCAAAAACATTGGTAAGGCTCAAGGAAACGATTGAATTGAATATTTGTTATTAGGATGGTGGCGGATATAATTGTTTGAAAGTATTGGTATGTTGAAAGAAGGTTATTGAATCATTTTCTCCAAAGCCTAACACTGGCTAGATAGGATGCTGACGACTTATTTCGGTTGACAGATAGGAATATGTTAAATGGAAAAGTAAGGAACCTCTCGTGATAATCAAGAAAGAACCAACCAGACTAGATGAGCAGTGTATGTATTTTCAGTGATTAGGCTGTATTCAATATTTATAAAATGCCAAGTTTATGAAAAGGTCGAGACATTTTAAAAGAAACGGAGAATTGGTAGGATGGAATAAGTGACAGTAATCAGATGTCGGATACTGTCAGATGCAGGAAAGGAAATAAAACGGATTCTATTCAGTCTTTCTATTCTTCCAATATTCCGATCATTTATTGATAAAAAAGTTTTCTGAACAAAAAAAAGGAAAAAATATGGCAGTGCAAGAAATAAATTTCTTCTTTCCATTCTTATTTGAATATATTATACTTACAAAATTTCAATTTAACATAAGGTTATCAACATAAAATTAAATAAGAAAAAAAAGTGACGGAAATTTTAGTTTTCTTTTTAAATTAAAAAATATTTTTGTTGTATATATCTTTTGATTTTTTCTCTCTCATCTTTTTTAAATGTTGACTTTTTTCTCAAGTTTTAAGATATTTTTTTAAGGAGATAAATATTTTCGAATGAATATTGTTATTCGAACAACAAGCCAATTTCTTTTCCACCGCACACTCTTATACACTTACACTTATTTATCTATTGTGATTTCCACTTCTCCTCTTACGCATTCCTTTGTTTGTCACAAAAAAGAATACCAGTAAATAAAAAATTTGGGACAAATTTTTTTCGACAATGTTTGAATTAAGAAATGGTTTAAATAGAATTTTAATGAAGGTCCATTCGCTTTTTGCTGTCTGTTAAAACAAACCTGAACTACTTGTTTCCGAATAATGATAACGATAGCATTGCTACATGTGCTGCTACCGGATATGGATAAGTATGAACCATCTGAAGAAGGATCACAGTACCAGCTGTCTGTTTAATCATTTATTTTAATCCGCCAGCTGGTTAACATTTTTAATGGCTAAAAAGCATATGGAAAAAATAAAAAATAAATAAACAAGTAAATTAATGTTTTTTGCTCTCTCCATGTGATAACCATTCATTTCGAATTATATATAAAGGAAAGTGTGAAGAAATTTTTGAAAGTATCGTAGTTAAATCTTATAGAGAAATAGATTTAGCAGTTATTGCCTTCTGACACATTAGTTAACCATCATTTCCAAGTTCTCTTTTCCGTCTTTTCTTTTTTGATCCGTTATGAGAAATAGTACACAAATGAATACTTATTAACTTGAAGGATACCTAAAACGAAGGTCATTTATTTACGGGATGAACGTAAGAATTGAAAATATTGTGAACAATGATGTGTGCGAGATCTGAAGAATCTCATCATCACTTCACTTTTTGGCTTTGTTTGGATGGGATAATTTGAAAATGAAAGAGGCAATCTCGAAGGAGCATTTCTTTCATTTTAAATTTATCTCATCCTTAATTTGACTGAGACTTATGAAAATACATAAAGATCGTCTCCGTAAAGGGTTTCTTTATGCGAAGACCGTTTACGACCGGCAATTACTTTTTTTGCTCAAACTGTAAAAGCATTTTAAATTGGGCCGTTATGATGGCACCAACATATTATTCGTCAATCAGCAACCCCTCACGAATCATTTTCACGACGTTCCTCCTTTTTCTCGTTCCTCAGTAATTTGCTGGACTGATTAATGCTGTCCTCTCCTATTTTCCATCCATTTTTTCTCTTCACTTTTTCGACAATAGCATCACTTCAAATAGCATACTTCTGCTCTCCACTTCACCCCTATATACATCAGTTGTTTTTCAGAATGTAAGCATTAAATTTCACTCATTGTTTAAAATTATTTGAGCAAAAAAAGAAAAAAACGAAAAAATTTCATTTTATCCATTGCTAACCCTCAGGTGCTTTTTTGCTGT